AAATATATCTGTCATTTGTGTGTTTTTAGCTTTCTTCCTGTATGGGAAGTTTTTCAAAATTTGAAACATTAGTGCATTGGTTTATGTTAAAATAAACCTTTGGGTTAAGTTGTCGTAAGCAGGTTTTTGTTTGTGTTTCTTGTGAATTTGGTCTTAAATTTTTATTTCAAGTGGCATTAAAAATTCTTAAAAAGTCTTGAATTTAACTTGCCTTATGCTGTAGGAGCCCTGGTTTGGTATGTTTACCACAAAACCCATTTGATTTCTTATTCAGTTCTCAGTGAATCATAATCCTAACCCGCAAGTAATTCCTTTTCCCCCACAGAATTAATCTATTTATATGTAATCTGAAAATAATTTTATTAGATCTTCATATGCTGTAAATATAACTAAATAAAAACAAAAGGATCCATACCTCTCATATTAAACAAATGAGAAACAAAGATGTCACTCCCTGTCAACTGAGTTGTAGAATCCCTATAAATATGTAATTCTCTGTAAAAAAAAAAGTGCAGATCATTCTTTAATAAAAATCCTCGTCAAACAGACATGCAATTTTTTTAAAACCCAATGTGTATCACGGACAAAACGACGACAAAAATTGTAATAAATCAGGAAATAAAATGGCGTGATTGGCTGTAGGGAGATCGGAGACAGAGGACAGTTGAGTTTACTGAAGAAAACCTGCTGCTGACCAGGTTAGCTCTGGGGAGAATGTTACTATGGTGACTAAAACAGAAGTTGAGGAAACTCTCTTTATGAACCGGAAAAGTCAGAGTTTCCCTGTTTTCAGGTTTAGAAAACTACTATTTTTTTTGGTAAACCTGCTTCATGAAACGGACCCCAGGAAGAGAGCAAAATTTGAAAATGCGTAGAAAGTGTGTGAACAAATTTAAGTGTAAAAATAATAAACATTAAAGGGTGGAATTGCAGCTTACTTTTTTTATTTTTTTTTTTATTATAGTCTGTAAACAGCAATGGGAAGTAGGCAGACTGGATCCAACCTGTGGAAAATCATAAAACATCTAAAACTGTTTTAATTTAAAACATATGGAGTTATTTCCCAGCCATCCCTGATCTGTTTCCCTTCATAAAACAGCAGCAGGACCAGGAAAACTAAAGCAGGTTTGAACTACAGACACAGCTGCCTCTGTAAACTGTTCTGGATGTTCCTCCCTGTATCCAGTCCGCCATGTTGCTCCTGCTCCTCTATCTGCGTCTGTCCATCAGCCGCGGCCTGGCAGCCTCCATCAGCCCCCTCCCCTCTAGCTGCTCCAGCATCCTGATCTCCTTCAGAGCACTCCTCTTCCTCTCCATCAGTCTGAGATATTTTCTCAGGGAACCTGCTTCTCCTCCCATCTTGCTCCCCCTCCTGCTCCTCCACCGCTGACGCTCCTGCAGCTTCGTCTCCCTCCTCTTCCTCCTCTGTCCTCTCCTCTGTTCCCATGGCCTCTCCTGCTGTGGGGCATTTGTGATCTCTGTAGTAGCTCTGCCTGGTGAATCCTTTGTTGCAGGTGGAGCACCTGAACCTGTAGTTATCTGTGTGGGACTGCTGATGCTCCATCATGTGAGCCCTGCGGCTGAACGCCTTCTGACAGAACAGACACTTGTAGGGTTTGATACCTGTGAGTGAGGAGAGTTCGATACAGTCAGTCACCATCTAATCAGGTCCAAAGTTAATCCAGCATAAAATCAACGAGGGTTCAAAGCAGGAAAAACAAAACAAACTGCTTCATGATTGACGCCCTCAATTCCATTCAAAAATATGTTATTAATGTCAAAGGGAAATAAAATGTTCAAGGATTTTAATCTATTACCAAGCAAAGTGGTTGCAGTATCATGGTGCGGGATTACAGCGGAATACTTAAGCTTAGATTGACCTCTCAAACCTGGGATTAAGTGAAAAGGGCTAAATCTAAAAATATTTTTTCTAAAAATTTATCAATTTCACTAAATTTAACCTTTTTTTGTTTTTACTTGCAAGTTGGAATTTCCACGATACCGGTCACAAAACCCCAAAAACATTTCCTAAAGTCTAAATCAGAGATCAGTGATTAGCGGGCCGGGGTCCGGATCCGGACCCACCTGCTGGCTAATCCGGACCCAACCTGATTTAAAACATTTATAAATTACCGCATGCTGTCCGACAACAGACTCTAACTTCACTTGCGCCACTTCTCCTGTTAATACGGTAAAGCCGTGTGGAGCGCAGGCACCAGGCTAATCAGCCAATGAGCTGCTGTTAGTCTGGGTTGCTGCTTCTGCTACTTTTAGACACAGCAGGCAAACCTGTGGCAAGCCGGGCGATGGGAAAGAAGGAGAAGATGATGAGAAAAAGAGAGCAGAGAAAGTGTGGACTGCTGGAAGAACTGTGGTGAACTTGTGGCAGAAAAATGAAATGGTGTGCTTAAAGATGACCCTGCACATTTAGAGTATGTTTGGTTCAATGTACTGCTGTGAAGCAGGATTCTCCACCATGAACATATCCAAAGATAAATATGCAAACCCAGGTTTAAAGCCTTGCAGGGCAGCATAAAGCCCACTGCTCTGCACTGAGCCTGGTTCTGCTGGAGGTTTCTTCCTGTTAAAAGGGAGTTTTTCCTCTCCACTGTCGCTACAAGCATGCTTAGTGTGAGGGATTGTATTTGAGTCAATGAGTCGATGCAATCAACTGGTTTTCCTCAGATAGAAAACTTTGAATCAATTTGACTGAATGATCTGGTTGAACTGCAAAGTGCCTTGAAATGACTTGTGTTGTGAATTGGCGCTAAATAAATAAACTGAATTGAATTGAATTAAGCCAGTAAGAGAAAGAAAATTAACGTTCAGTTCAGGTGTTTTATAAAATACGTGAATCAGGAAATTGTCTAAATACCAAACTGAACGATTGTTGTTTTCTACTTCAAAAAAACACTTCAGATTCATTTTAAAATGGAAAAAATATTCTATTTGTTTTTTTTTTATTTTAAGTTTTTTATTTAAAAGGTAAATGTATAACATGGATGCATAAACATCTAATTTTATTTCAATGTTAAATTCTGTTAAAATTGGTTACCCCTGGTCTAAATAATTGAGCTGGCAAAGCAGAGCCTGACTTTAGCATCCAAGATGGCCGCTGACTGCTCTCTATATGAAAACTCAGTTACTAGGATTAGTGATTTATTTATTTTCATTT